GCAGTGTTGTTCAAATTATGGCAGCTTAACCATGCAAGAGATGAGGACATAGCAGTCACATCCAAAAAGTGCAAGTGGATCAAGCCAAGTGAGGAGTCTCTGAAAAAAGTGGAGCATCAGCAAGGCAAGGACATAATATTTAACCACTCACAACAAACCAAAAAAGTGAAGTCTTCCAAAGGCCATGCCACTTCACCAGCCTTCCCACCTCTGACCCCCACTGAGCAAGCACAGTTTTACAGCAATCTCTCAAGCTGCTGTACACAAGATGGACAGACAATAAAGTCAGCAGTCCTATCTGTAATCAGAGACTTCTCATCATCCAATGTCCCAAAAGCTGTGACCCTCGATCTTCCACAGCCCCTCATAAATCTGTATGACAGACAGGCAAGAGATGTCAGCGCAGAGTAGTTAGAAGAAAGAGCAGAAAAACTTTTAGAAAACATGACTGTGACCAAGGAACAGGTAAATCATCGTGTTACAAATACAGCAAATTCAGGTGTTTTTGGCCTTAGTTCATGTTTGTCAATGTGTAAGATTTTGTCTGATCATATTTTCAGAGTGATATTGTGGAAGAGGGGACTCGAGCACAGTCAAAGTCCAACATTTGATTTGACCAAAGAAGTGGTAGAATAACAGCGTCCACCTTCAAAGCAGCCACAAAGACAGACATCACAAAGCCCTCCGTGTCCCTGATTCGAAAAATATGCTACCCAAAGTCTCATAGCTTCACCAGTGAGGCTACCAGGTATCAATTGAAATAACTTGGTTTTGTGTGCTACTTGAACTATTTATCATTATTTTATAAAGATTTGATAAAAAGTGTCTAAAAGGATTTTGTTGTTTTGCAGATGGGGCTGTAACCATGAGGAGCTGGCAAGAAATTATTATGAAATTCAGCATCGCCTTGTACATTCCGATGTCCTAGTAGAAACAGCTGGTTTCAGGATCTCGCCCACACATCCATTCATCGGAGCCTCACTTGATGGTTATGTTTCTTGCAGTTGTTGTGGCCCAGGTCTTATAGAAATAAAGTGCACATTCTGTGTAAAGGCCCTTTCTGTGGATGAGGCAGCAGATCTTGCAAACTTTTGCCTAGAAAAAAATGAGCAGGGAACCATCAGACTAAAGCCGGATCATGCATAATATTATCAAGTACAAATGCAGATATTTGTTACTGACAGACGATATTGTGATTTCGTCCTCTGGACTGAAAGAGACTGTGATTCACCATTTGTTGAACGTGTGACAGCAAATGTGTCATTTTTTGACAAATAGCTTGAATGTGCAAAATCTTTTTACAAAAAGTGTATTCTCCCAGAGCTGCTTGCAAAGACTTTTTCAGCACCAAAGCCAGCAGCAGCAGGTGCTGATAATGGTCAACAGTGGTGTTACTGTCGCGAGCCAGAGGACGGTGACATGTTGGTGTGCACCTCAAGTTTTTGTTCTTTAAAATTGTTTCATAAAACTTGTCTGCAATTGAAAAGGAATCCTAAACAATGGAAATGTCCAAGCTGTAGAAAAGTTATCAACTCACAACAAAAATCTCTGACAAGCTGAAGAGTATCTTAGGTGTGTTCTTGCTTTGCGTTAGTTCTAATTCCATGTTGTCGTTCTTTTTTAAAACACAGAAACGGTTTTGTTACCTGTTATTGACGCTACAGTTTCGCCGACGGCTGCCGGCTTCTTCAGGCTGACGCTGATGGTGGCGCGTCACTTCCATCTCCGTTTATCTGTGGGCAGCAGAGGATGTTGTCGCCCTCTACTGCCCGTTCTCCCCTCTCCGACGATGCAGTCCCATGCGCGGTCCAACGTGTACACTCCATCGTCCCTGTTCATGGTCCCACATCCACGTCTCCTTATCTCGATTGCTTCCTTGATCCATCTTTTGTATTTTTGTTGTTCAGTGGTTATGATCCGTGTGTTGTCCCAGTCCATTATATGGTTTTCTCTTAAGCAATGATCTGTTACGGCTGACTTCCTTATTGTACTTTCTGCTTCTTCTTTCGCTGCTCTTGTGTGTTTTCGATTTGCCTCTTTCTCGCACTCCTTTCTATGTTCTATTGTTCGTGTGTTGAGTTGGCGTCCGGTTTCTCCTATGTATGTTTTATTGCAGAGTTTGCATGGGATTTTGTAAATGACTCCACGTTTTTGTCCAGCTGATATTTTGTCTTTTGGGTGTACTAGTCTGTTTCTAACTGTTGTGTATGGTTTTGTTGGTGTGTTCATGTTGTGTTTTTTCATTGTTGCTCTTATTTTTTCTGTTATGCCTCTGATGTATTGTAGGGTTATCACTGGTCTTGGTTCTTGTCTTTCTGGTTCTTTTTTTTTTTGGGTTGTTCTTTGCTTTCTGTTTTTGTTTGTCTTTTTCCTTTGTTTGTTGCCCATGTCGGGTATCTGCAGGTCTTTAAAGCGTGTTGTATGTGTTTGTCTTCTTGTTTTCAGTCTTTTTCTTCTGTTATTATGTTTGCTCGGTGATATAACGTTCTGATTACTGACATTTTGTGTATGGTGGGGTGTTCTGATGTCCATAATAGATATTGGTCTGTGTGTGTTGTTTCCTGTATGTGTTTATGTTTAGGGGGTGGGGGGTGGGGTGGGGTGGGGTGGTGGTGGGGGTGGGGGGGGGGGGGGGGGGGGGTCATGTTCCTGAGCCGAGGTGAGCACTCTCTCCTCACTAACTATCTGTGAGGTAATCTTCCACAGGTGAGGAGCGGAGGGTGCTGCAGGTGCGCCAAATCTCCAATCTGGAGGTCAGGTATAAAAGGAGGATGGAGACACCACACTACGCTGGATGATTGCACCTGTTAGGTAGCCCCAGCCTCTCGACTTCGTTTGCTTGTTACATCTTTGATATTGGATTATTGGCTCTGAACCTTGGACTGTTTTTCTGGATTATGCCTTTTGGATTTTCCCCTGAACTCTGTTTGTTTGCTCTGCTCAGGATACTCAACTCTTCACACTTCTCTCGCCGCTCGAACCTCGGATTTCCAGAACCACGTCCCATCCTCCTCTTCTACGCCTGCCCGTTTATCTCCGCTGCCTCACCCGCCTCAGCCCGCTGAACTCCACCTGCGCTCACCTTGGCTACCCACCTTTCCGTACTGGGTGGACTATATATAGACTAAAGCCATACGGCACACCCTCACTGGTTTACCAGTGCGCTTTTTGTTCCCATTTTAAAATAAAGAACTTTCTTTCACTCACCCCGTGAAATTGTGTTGATTCTGCATGTCTTGGGTCAAACACCTCCCTCGAGTCATGACATTACCTGTCATTGGCACTGACCTGCAAACACCTCAACACCATTGTTTCAGATCCTGTTTTAGGAAGAAGGCCCACTTTGCCTGGCTGGATGGTAATAAATGACCAATGATGTTAATTAATTGGCTTAATTTAATTATCATTTTGTTAATAGGTGAGATTCACTGGAGCAGGTTTTCTGCAACCTTCAAGTCTGAGCACGGTCTATACAAAGACTGTGTGGGCTTCACCGGAAAAGGACGAAGAGGAAAGTCCCCTCGCTATTACTCTGGTGGGATACCCGGACACTGCCCTGGCTGTCAGCATTGAGCATGTTCAAACATTGCCAAATAGTCCAGAGAAACATTTCTGCAGCAAGTGCACTCAAATGTGTGTGTGTGTGTGTTCTTTTTGTAATGTTGAAAAGAACTGCTGCTGTTTAGATTTTTTTGAAACAATATCCTGTTGTTCCTCTGTTTGAGAATAAAGTTTCTTGAAAAATTGGTTGCAGTTTATATAAAAATGACTCAAATTAACTTAATAAAAAATCAAATTACAGGTAAAACTCAAAACAAGAGAATAAGGTGAAAAAGTTGTTTTATTTCAATAATAAAAGACTCAGCATACAAAGCCACATATTTCAGCCTTTATTTGTTATAATTGTAATATTTATGGCTTACAGATGATGAAAACCCTGCATTCAAAAATTCAAACAATTAGAATATGACATTAAAAAATCCAACACTGCTTTTAAATAGAAAATTGTCAGACATAATTACGTTGCAATTGGTTTTGCTTTTACTAAAATAAATTCATGTGCAACATTCTAATTTTTGGAGTTTGACATGTTTTTAGAAATTATATTGATATGAAACTAAAATCCATAAAAGTCGTTCTCAGCAGCTGTTCAACATAGCCATCCTTTTGGAAGATATTCTTTTTGCTAAAATGGAAAGTTTTCTCCACACATTTACTAAATTTTTTCATTAGGTTACATGATAAAATAACAAAAAAAAATTAAATCAGGACAACTCATTTCATTTGGAGACACAGGTGACACTTAGGAGAGCTGATGTTACATCTTTGGAGGAATTAGGTTTAAATATCAGTTTTGAATATATCAATAGTCTCATCAAACTCAAATGGTTACAGTTTCCTACAATTAGTATAAAACTAGGCCATTTGTAAAAATCATCCTTATGAGATTTCGAATGACACTGTCGTTTAAAAAATACCACACCAATTAAAAAAAATTAAAGTGATGTGAAATGTGTGAAGAATCAGTCATTCTTTGATGAAGATTATTAAAAATTATAGTTTTAAATGATTTTTGACTGTGTCATGTTTAGTACAACAACGTACGAAAAATATTGTAATAAACTGTAACTAATAATTAATCAGAAATATAGAAATTACGATAGATAGAATTATACATTGTTTCATGAACAGTTTGAATAAAGATTTTTCCAAAAAGGTAGCTCGACATTAGCGCCCCCTTCAGTTCCGAAAAACAATGGCACCATTTCCATATATGGTATTGTTGTGCCCAGTGCCCACTCTCCGCCCCGTGCTACAACTACGCTAAGCTGTAGCCAACTGTAGTTGCCGAGACACGATCTAGAAGCTGTGCTGTTCTGAGATAACTCGGTGGACTTGGTGAGTTTTGGTAGTCAGTAGTCGGTAGTACAGTCAGCAACGTAGTTGGATCTGAAACATTTACCGTCTTTAGTGAGTGGAGCAGTTCACTTGGTGAGTGAACACCGTTTCTTTGTGAGGGAAAGCACGCTAGCGGCTTAAAGGAGTTAGCATTATGCTATCGCTAAATCGCGAGTGGGGGTTTCCCTGTTTAAAATCAACAAAACGTTATAACCGTTAAACAGTTTTAATAAAGAGATCCCTGGAACACACACACACACACACACACACACACACCACACGCTCACACTCACACACACACACACACAGCTATTCTTTCCTCCCGTTCCCACACTTAACGGCAGCTACAGAGCAGCAGCTCCTTGCTGCAGACAGAAGTTTACTCTACAGCATTCAGCATGAAAATGAACCAAGTAGCATTAAATAGACATAACAGGTTAAAAGGAAATGCCAGCTGTTGTTTCAGAGCATTCGTTAAGCAGATGTTTTTCAGGGATGCATATTTACATGTAAATAAAAATAAATACAACTTTAGAAAGACAAATTCTACTGAGTAAATGTATAATATAATGACTTAGTTATCAATAATAATACTGAAAACACAATAGCATTCTGCTAAAACACAGCTAAAGTTCATTTAGCTGGGATTCCCTGTGTTTTCATGTACATTACACCAGGCCCGGAGTAGCTAATCGGGAGGGTCTGGAGAATTCCCGGTGGGCCGCGCGATGTTTGGGCCGCATGGGCCGGTGCTCTCGTTTTTGTTTTTTATCATTTTTATTTTTTTGTGCCGGTGTTCAGTCATGGCACTGAGGCCGCCGGGCTGATCTCATACGCTCCTCCCGGCTGTCTCTGGCTGGCTCTACCTGCAGGCTGCCGCTCGTTATTTTTTTTCCCCGTATGCGCCTGTGCGCACCACGTGACCATGCAGTTGACGGAAAGATGGAAAGTAGAAAGAGCAAGGGTGGCGCGGAGAAGGCAAGAATTAAAAAGAGGAAAGCGCTGGAAACAGATGCAGCTAAATGTGCCAAAATGAGCACCTTTTTTCTCAAACAAGCTTGCGGTCTTTAACTTCAAATGAAGATAAAACGGGTAAGGCAAGTCAAGATGTTAAACTTTACCAGCTGCAAATCACCATTCAAGTTAATTAAGCATCAATAATGAATTATATGGCATCATGACATAACGTTATGTAATATAATTAACAGTATGATGTGACTGATGCCACCAAACTCTTGTAGCCCCTCAGAGTCAAACACAAGATCCAGTAGGCCTAATAAGCACCAGGCAGAAGCCCACAGTTCCAGAGCGGGCATGTACAGGTAGGATTACTTATTGGGTCAGTGAACTGAATATTATTAAAATTTATATGATGAAAACTATCCTGGCTCTATATGAAAGTGTTCTAAAATGCTAGATGATTCAGCATTGATCAGAAAGCGTGTAAAAAAGGAAAATGAATGCTGAATTGTGACCATTTTCACACAATGTGATTTAGTGTCAGAAGAAGAGCCAGCAGTGAGGGTATTGCTCCTGTTGGGATAGAAGGTGAGCCAACTCATGCACAAACATCAGTTTCATTATAATAATTTTAACCCTTTGATGCATAATGGTCTCTACAGTGGACAGGTACTCAAAATTGTTATTTATTTATTTTTGCTATTAAGCACAGCTGTTGAAGACTTTATTGCATGTGAGCCCCTCCATTTGTGCTTCAGCAAGTCAAGCCAACATATTTCATGTTCAGAACGCACGCTGTCCCCTGAGTTGGACATGTAATAAACTATTTGTAAATTAACAAAATTTTACAAAAGATATTTGTTGAAATTTGTTTCATTCACACCTAAATATGAATGAAAAAAATTGTTTAAAAAATCGTGGTTGAAGATTTCATTATTCATGCATCAAAGGGTTAATGTCCAAATAATAGTAGTGACCTGTTGTATTTTTATTAGTAAATGCACAAAGCCCACAACAGATCGCTATTAGAATGAAAGTAAAATGAAATAAGCCTGCATATTTTGCCATAGAAAATATTTTAATTGGTTACAAAAAATGTGTTTTCCATATCAAATGTGCTAAAGCTTTACAGATGATTATTTTAATTGTGTGCAGGTGAGTCTAGGGAAACTGGAAAAAGTGTGAAAGGGAGTGCTGAGTCATTTCATTTTAAAGGTTTGAAAATCTCAGAACAGCGGTTTGAACAGAAGGTAGATTGTTATATTGTTAGAGAATGTGTTGTAAAGAACAATGTTGGAGATGTGCACTGATGTTCAAATAAACCTACATTGTAAAGCAACTCTTTCTTGCACAGAATTACAAGGCTTTACCGAGTAATGTGCTTTTGTAGACTATACACATAAAGTTCTAACATGATTTTAATAATAATTCGTTAAGTGGGCCGGTCTGGGGTCTGAAACTCCAGGGCTGAAAATGTGTCCCACTCCGGCCCTGCATTACACGTCCGTGAAGCTGCGTCTTGGCCAGGACTCCCTTGAAAGTAAGGTTTGTGATCTCAATGGGACCTTCCTGGTTAAATAAAGAAGAAATAAATAAACTCACTACTTCTTCATGTAAACTCTAAACGAAACCTTTTGGTGCTCTTGGCTCAGCTGGAGACGAGGAACCCTGAGGTTGTGTTGCTGTTTACCTTTTCAGCTCCCAGCCCTCTGCTGATATCACACCTTGCTTTCCTCGTTTGCTTCATGAGATGCTGCCATGCTGGGTTTGACTTTTAGTGAGCCACCAGACAACTAAACAGGAGAAACCATTGTTAGTATTTTTGTAGAGCATCCATCTTCAATTTAGTCAGTAGCTGGAAGAACAGAAGAGAACTCTGTGAACTCTGGTGACCAAAGGTCCTCTTCTCCAGGCTGGATCTGTCCTCAGCTGATCAGAACCAAAGCGTTGGATCTTTAATCTCCTGCGTTGTTCTGAAGCAGCATCTTAATCAGCTCACCTGCTTTGTTTCTATTGCAGCTGTTAGCTAAACACGGCTAAAGAAAACCTGCTACCACTTCAGGATCATCCATCAGCTGGGACTGATTCATCGTGTGTTCTTCACCACCTGGACCTGGACAGCATGCACACAGGTACTGGTGGATGAATGACTAGCTGTTTTTACAGGACCATAGCGTTTGCAAAACGGGATTTGCCGTGGCACCCTGGGGAGGGTTTTGGCATTTACAGTAGCAAAGCTGAAGCTAGAATAAACTGCCATCAGGCACCACCCAAACCTAGACGGGATATAGGGAGGTCGCTGCCCCCCCCTCGTGACGTACAGGGTCGCGCATTCAGCGTCAGACGGAAGACACGTCAGACTGATGAAATTTCTTTTTCAGGACCTTTAGCTTTGATGTGACCTGCTTTTTGTCCCGCTTGATGCCCCGCTCAGCCAATGTTTTCACCACTCTGTCGAAGCTGGCTGTCTCTCACCGTCCCCGTAAAAAGGCGACTAATCTGTTCGTTCGCTCGCACGGCCAAAAGCTCCATGGTCTCCATGTCCGTCCAGCCGGCTTCCCTTCCGGCCGGCACTCGATGCGCAGTATACGTGACTAACGCGACCACCCTCCGGTCGGCAGCCACGGTGAAAGGGTTCGCTAAAACACACACAAACGTCTCAAAATAATAAAAGCCACAAAGCTAAATACAAAGTTTACAGCAGAACATTGACCCAGAGATCCTCGATTGAGCAGACGCGTGAAAATACACTTAATGACCGCTTAGAGACAGAGCAAGCTAGTGGCTAATGCTAGTAGCTAGCCAATAAAATCGAGTATGGCGTGCTTCTTCAAGATTCATAATCGTTTATGTCCGCATCTTAATGCATCGATTGCTCTATTATTTCCCTCAGCTCTTAAGGTCCTGAACCTCCCCCTTGAGGGTTGTAACATGATGTAAGTACTACTTACATCATTACTACCTACTAAGTAGTAATAAATGATCAATAAGATGTGATATTCCACATAAATATGAATGATCAATATTATTCATCATTTGAAATTTGATCTAAGATGAAACCAGGTCTTTTTGGTAGTTCAGGGAAATCACACCTGCGTAATACTTTGAGACAGAGGCAAAAATATAGTTTATAAAAATCTATTTAATACTATATTTATACCACTGATGACACAGAACAAATGAATGATGGTTGAAACAAGATAACTGAGACAATGAATGAGACGATGGGATGTAGCTTAGATGTTACGTAGCAAAACCTTATTAAGTGTCTTAGAAACTTGTGATGTCTGGGTTGTAAAATCAGTCTTATCTGTACGGTTTAACAAACTATCAATAATTTAAAAAGGTCTTAAATGACCAAAGACCCAAATAAACAAGATTATTTTATTACTATAAAATTTTCGTGAATTTCTAGTTAGTGTTCAGCTTTTTTTTGTGTATGATGTTGGCGTAAGCGGAACCGTACACATTCAGTTGGTTGTGAAAGGGGGCTATTTTTAGATGAGCACATTAGCTGGTTAAGCTAGTGGGAGCTTGTGCCATGGGGAAGGGCAAGTTTAATGGCTACTGGATGGCTAATCCCACGTTCGCGACGTGGTTAGCACCGGTTCCAGGCAATAGCCGGAAATTATAGCTTAAATTTGGTCAAAGTGGCCTTAAAAAAGGTCTTAAAAAGTCTTAAATTTGGCTCCCTTAAACCTGCAGATACCCTGCTTTGACCTTGAGGTCAAAGCAAGAGGATGGTTCCTTATGCTTTGCTTACCCAGCCGGCCGAAGCGGGTAGCTCACTAGAACTGGCTTGTTCAGGAAGTGAACTAGCTTTTATTAACCATTGTTTATAGTGCTGGGTATTGTAAAATGTGTGTTTTCAGTTTGTCCCAGACTGAGGAGGGTAACGCTGCAGATGCTGATGCTATTAGCATGGACGCTAATGACTGTAAACAGAAAGGAAAGACGCTTCGACTGACATGTTGACGCCTCAAAGCACCATGGGATTTCTAGTCTTTGCAGAAAAATGAGTCAACGGGCCACTCTGGTTCAAGGGGGAAAATCGATCTTAGGCCTAATGAATCGATTTTACAAAATTGATATGAAATGGATTTTTCTACCCAGCCCTAGTTGTTTACCACTTTGGTCAAATCAGAGTTGACATGTTAAAGTGGGCGTCATCAAAGACCTCAGACATCACTCCTTCCTCAAACATTTAGGGAGGTTATTTCACCTAATGTGGAGTAAAATGTCACATTTATGTGAAGTGAATATATTAACCATTAACAATAATATGGTAACATTAATATGGGGGGGGGGGGGGGGGGCTTCTGTCGGGTTTCAGCGATGGGTTTCGGTCACTCTTATGGAAATCAGAGAAAGGAGAGAGGGCTCCTCTTGTTCACAAACAATCTTTGTTCTAGTGTGTTAGTCACGTCTCATCATTTGACCAATCACAGTCAGAGACGGCACGCTGCAGACAAGGCAGAGCAGCACTCACAGTGAGTATGAGTGCTGTCATTTTAACTTCTCGCAGCGGTTTTGAGCTTAAAGTTCGTCAAATAGAACAAAATCACCACAAAATAAGTTTTCCGTAAAAGACTTTAGCGGATTATAAATGGTAAATGGCCTGTATTTGATATAGCGCCTTCTAGAGTCCTGGAACCCCCCAAGGCGCTTTACAACACAATCAGTCATTCACCCATTCACACACACATTCACACACTGGTGGGGATGAGCTACGACGTAGCCACAGCTGCCCTGGGGCACACTGACAGAGGCGAGGCTGCCGAGCACTGGCGCCACCGGTCCCTCCGACCACCACCAGCAGGCAACGTAGGTTAAGTGTCTTGCCCAAGGACACAACGACAACGACAGACTGAGCGGGGCTCGAACCTGCAACCTTCCGATTACGGGGCGAGCACTTAACTCCTGTGCCACCGTCGCCCACTGGGATTATAGATTTTTCCCAAGGCTGGTCGTGTTTTTTAAGAAAAAAAATTTCGGGGGAGTCGACTTTGGAGTAAACATCACCAGTAATGTTAGTAACATAAATACTATTTATGGTAAGAAATGGCCCCCAGTATGCTACAGCCTTACTCCAACCCCAGTAAAACAAACCCCAGTGAATGGATCTGGGCACCAGAGGATTTAAGGACACTGGAGGAGAAACACGTGATGAGATAATTTCATAATAACATTTCTGCTGCATTAAAGAGTCAGATCAGCTATTTGCCCTTAGCAGTGGTTAATTAAAGTATTCAAGCTGAGATAAAGCTACATTTACCTGCAGCTGCAGCTCTTTCTAAACATTTAATCACAACAAACTCATCAGAGCAGCTACACTTATGACCCACAACAATAACCTTTTAGGGATGGTTACAGTATTTTGGAATACTGGAATATTTTCAGATGTTTCCATGTTTGCTGTTCTGAGTGTTACGGGCCCTGAGCAAGACTCACGAGGAGTGGTGGACCCGCAACACAACCAAGACGAGACAATCTTAAAATGATGAAAATAAACTTTATTTGGAACTCCTGCACTCTGCGCCTACAGGTGGGATGCTCCAACAGGCCTGTAGGGGCAATGACAAAACACAAAGTGAGAGGATTTAATCCACTATCTCAAATAATAATATCCACTTAGGGAAAGAAAACTGTCTTTTTCAAACCATTAATCGGAAAGCATATTTAACCCTATTTGGGAGTAAAATCACTAAAGGTGGTTTGATAACACTCAAAGGGTGTCACAGCCGGAATCTCTGAAGGTTGGTTCATGCTTCTCCGTCAGCTCCGCAAGGGACAGACACGCACGGATACACATGGATTGACGGAAGCATTTTGCTCTCATACTTCTCTGTTTGCTGAAGGGCGTTGTAAAGCAATTCTCCGCCAGGACAACAGAGGGCGTAGCGTAGGTTGCAGTACAGTGACGTACTATTTCCTTGGAAATCACTTCCCGCAGTCTGAAAAATGGCAAGTAACAAGAGACAGAGAAGTTTGATCGAGTTGGAACAGTGTGATCTAGACGAAGAAATGCTTATCCTGCTGAAATACCAGCGAGAGCATAAAAGGAGACAGCGGCGTCAGTGGGATGTCCATCCGCTAAACAGGTCTAGGCAGACAACAGGCGAATTTTCAGGACTTGTGCAACCTTTGAGGGACATGGACGCAGAAATGCATTTCAGGTATTTTCATATGTCGGTTGACAGATTCGATGAGCTGGTTCGGCGATTGAAACCACTGATAAATCACCAGGGGACACACAGCTTACCGATAAATGTTGCCCAGAGACTGACAGTGACTCTGCGTGTTTTGACTTCTGGTAGCAGTCAACAGGCTGTAGCTTCCAGCTACAAAATGGCGTCAAACACAGTGTCGACGATTGTTTCAGAGGTCTGCAGTGCGTTGTGGGAAGCACTGCAACCGGATTACCTGCCATGTCCTTCTACTAACCAGTGGGCAGCAGATTTTTGGCGTCTTTGGAACTTCCCAAACTGTGTGGGGAGCCTGGATGGCAAACATGGGACTATCAAAGCACCACTTCAACTACAAGGGCACTCACTCCATTGTGCTGATGGCAACATGTGATGCCCAATATCGATTTACTATGGTGGATGTCGGTGGGTATGGACGGGAAAGTGATGGTGGTGTGTTTAAAGAAAGTGTCTTTGGTTCCACACTGCTGAACAACAAGTTGAACCTGCCACCTCCTGCGTTTCTCCCTGGAACCAGGACTGAAGCACCACACATGCTAGTTGCTGATGCTGCCTTCCCCCTGCACATCAACATAATGCGACCTTTTCCAGGTATGCGACTAGCTATATGTTTCACATTTAAAATGACAAGTGTGTCATGTGTATTAAGTTGTGGTAATGTTCTGTTTAATAACGCTCATTGCTGCTGTTTTTATTTTCAGGACATAATTTGGAGAAGGATAAGCTGATCTTCAATTACCGCCTTTCCAGAGCCTGGCGTGTCATTGAAAACAGCTTTCGGATCCTAGCAGCGCGGTGGCGAATTCTTGGGAGGGCCATCAAGTTCCACCCAGATAAAGCTGTGAAGGTTGTGAAGGCGTGTGTGGTTCTCCACAACTACCTGGCTTACTGCGATAATGCAAACACACCAGAGAGCCGATACATCC